CCATGCCTACATAATGAAACCTCCTTAACACTGAAGATACTGAAGTTCAGGTGAACTTCCTGGTTGGTGGTAGACATATATGCATGGCAGGAGGGGGTAAAGCATGCTTGAGCCATGGAACTCCAAATTTGACTGCAAACCTCACCATATGTGGCTTTGCTTTATGCTGGTCTTCTTTTGTATCTTTTTGGGATATTAATACTGCAAGTAGACCACTTTCTAAGTTCTGCATCATTCTAGCAAATTACTGAACCCAAGGGGTAGTGAGTACAACAGAATTTAGCCTGTTAGCTGGAAGCCTGGGTGACTTTCAAATTTTTGGCTGATGTCTGTAATCTTGGGCATGCTTCACATTGTAGAGCTGTGCCCTTTCACTTCCTAGATCAGACTCTGGTTCTGGTTGGTTAGATCAGAATAGCTGCATTCCCAGTTGATTGGTGTCAGAGAAGATACTTAGAGATGGTAGTAGAGGTAGACAGGTACAGAGACCTCCTACAGGGAAGGGGAGCAGGTTGGCCACCAAGACCTAAGCTTAGTATTGCTTTGCTGTTGTTGTCAGGTGCCGTCGAGTCAGCTCCAACTCACAGCGACCCTACGTATAGCAGGACAAAACACTGCCCGGTCCTGTGCCAGCCTCACAATCCTTGCTTAGTACTGCTAGAAGCTGGTTTATCACTGGCAGAAAACCCATAAAATAAAAAGCCACACTGTGACCACTGTCCTGGTTATCATTTATTGCTTCTGCTGCAGATACCCTGTTGTTGCCTGATCTGTGATAATGGAGGTGGACCTTACATTTCTTGTTTGCCAGTTGTCAGTATATTAAGGACAGTGACAGACACCTCTGGATGAAAGGGTTCTCCTGTCTGGTTCCAGTGTGATCCCCTGCTAGGCCCCTCAACTGGACACTTCTGTCTCTACTTTGCAGGATTCCTGTAGGCGAAGCATTCTCAAGGTGCAAGGTTTCTCCAGCTCTCAATTTGGGCAGTAGTGGCAGAGCCTGAGCTCCATACACATGGGTCTGTGGACTAATCTGGGTGCTACATCCCACACATTGTCCTCATTGACGTGGGGATGCCTGGCAGGTGAGCTGTCAACACAAATCTTTCTCTGGAAGCCAGAGGCAAACAGAAGTGTGCTATATTCCTCTACAAAACAGCCTCTCCATATTCCAGCAATAGCTGGAATTACACACTGCTAGTGGAATATAGGGAGCTCTGGTAGCGTAGTGCCTAAGGCATTTGACTGCTAACCAGAAGGCTGGCGGTTCAAACCCACCAGCCACTCCTCGGAAGGAAGATGGGGCAATCTACTTCCGTAGTGATACTGCCTCGGAAACCCAAGGAGGGGTTGCTATGAGTTGAGTCTGACTTGATGGCACATAACAACAACAACAACAACAACAACAACAACAACAACTGGAATATAGGGAGTTCTGGTGGCATAGTGCCTAAGGCATTTGACTGCTAACCAGAAGATTGGCAATTCAAACCCACCAACCACTCCTCAGAAGGAAGACTGGGCAGTCTACTTCCATAGAGATACTGCCTCAGAAACCCAAGGATGGGTCACTATGAGTCTAACCAACTCAACAGCAGTGAGTTTGTTTTGTTTTCTTCTAAAGTGGAATATAAAATGGCACAGCCCCTTTAAGAAACAGATTGGAAATTTCTTATAAAGGTAATTATACACAGCAATCCCATTCCTAGGGCTACAGATGAGAAAAATGAAAACTTACATTCACATAAAACCCTGTTACATGATCGTGTATAGCAGTTTTATTTAAAAAGAGAAAAAATAAAACTCTAGAAATGGAAATATTCTTAACCCCATGAATACACAAACTGGTACATCTATATGATGACATACACAGCAATAAAAAGGAATAAACTATCGATATAGTCATCAACTCGGAAGGAACATTGAGCAATCTACGTCCGTAGAGATACCGCCTTGGAAACCCAAGGAGGGGTAGCTGTGAGTCGGATCTGACTCGACAGAAGTGAGTTTGGTTTTTGGGTATTCATCATCATGGATGAATCTCTAATTCATTACACTAAATGACAGGCACCAGAATTTAAAAACTACTCACAATGTGACATATATAGAGAAAGGTGCCAAGGATTCATGACAAAAAGTGGCAGCACCAGGGAATTTTTTGGAGAAAAGAGAAGAGCTATTTTATATTTTCATTCTAGTACTCATTATGTTATTGTTGTTGTTATGTGCTGACGAACCTGACTCATAGCAACCCCTCTTTGGGTTTCCGAGGCGGTATCACTATGGAAGTAGATTGCCCAACCTTCCTTCCAAGGAGTGGCTGGTGAGTTTGAACCTCCAGCCTTCTGGTTAGCAGTCAAGTGCCTTAGGCACTACGCTACCAGAGCTCCTCAAGTCATTATATGACTTGATATATTTGTCAAAATTCATACTAGTGAATGTTCCAAAAGCAATTTAAAACTTCAAAAATTAGAAAAGTAATTAACAATGACAGCAGAAATGTTTCAAGTTAGGGAAAAAAGAAAGAGTAAAGAAATCACTTAGCCTTGCCTTTGGGACAGGTCTCTACAGGCCAATTCCTCTGTATATGTAATTTTTAAAATGCAACTGCCATCATTATTACACACTATTTTATACCCAGACTATTACACATTAAAAGGAGCTCTGGTGGCACTGAGATTTAAGCATTGGGCTGTTAAGCAAAACAGTGTTTCAAATCTGCCAGCTGCTCCATGGGAGAAAGATGAGGCAGTCTGCTTTCATAAAGATTTACAGCTTTGGAAACCCTATAGGGTGGTTCTGCTGTGTCCCATAGGGTCACTATGAGTTGAAATTAACTCAATAGCACCGGGTTTGAATTTGGGATCTCACATTAAGCTATGGTTGCATCTCTTCCAGTGGACTAAATTTTTCAAAGAAATTCATTTGTTGTTAGGTACTGCAGGTTGGTTACGACTCATAGTGACCCTAAGTTCAACAGAATGAAACACTGCCTGGTCCTGCGCCACCCTCACAATCGTTGCCTTGTGCCCATCATTGCAGCCACTGTGTCTATCCATCTTGCTGAGGGCCTTGCATTCTTTTGCTGATTTACCAAGCATTATATCCTTCTCCAGGGGACAGTCCCTTTTCATAGCATGACCAAAGTAGGAGAGATGAAGTCTAATCATTATTGCTTCTAAGGAGTATTCAGCTGTACTTCCTCCAAGATAGATTTGTTTACACTTCTAGCAGTTCATGGTGTAGTCAGTGTTCTTTGCCAACATCATAACCCAAATGCATCAATTTTTCTGCTGTCTTCTTTATGCACTTTCCAGTTCTCACATGCATATGAGAATGTTGAAAAACCATGTCTTTGGTCAGGCACACCTTAGTCTCCATAGTGACATCTTTGCTCTTTTAACACTTTCAAAAGGTTTTTTGCAGCAGATTTGCCAATGCAATACGCCATCTGATTTCTTGACTGCTGCTTCCATGGGCATAGATTATGGATCCAAGTAAAGGAAAATCTTTCACAAATTCATTTAGGATAATAAAATATTGTGATATGTATCCAGGCATTTATCTAAAAACTCTTCCTTCTGGACATGGACACCATTTCCCCTCCTTCACTATTTCCACTATCTAGCATTATTATCAAGGTGCACTATTACAGTGCCCAAGGATTTCCACAGGATGATTCTGAAAGGGGAATTGCTGGGCCAACAGCAGGCCTAATTTTGAGGCTTTTGCTGCCTATAGACACCATTTCCCAGCCCCTTACATGAGAATTCATGGAAGCAGGCCCCAGTTCACCGTGGGGCAGATGAACTCTGAAAACCTTTAGGTCCTATAGCAGGTGTGCAGCCAGGTGGAACAGGAGCCACCAGTCCAGCCCAGTCCAGCAACTGCAGCCTCAACTCCTGGCTCAGCGAGTCTCCTGGAACCACAAAAGTATCACAAGCAGAAGTGTTTCAAAATACAGGTTCTGGGCCTGTGCTGGACAGACGCTCCACTGCACCTAGGCCAGGCTGCTCGTCTCTGTGGGCCTGCCATCTCTATGAATTACCAGTGTGAGCCCTCCTTCAACAAAACCCCTGCCTCTCATAGTACCATTTCCAGAGGGACATTTTTGTGATATGCTGGGAAATGGGTTACAATTTTACATGCACTTTTCTCAGTAGTAAACCAGGAATCATAATAGTTGTGGAGGATAAATAAGAAAAGCAATGAAAAAAATATTTGGTACAACACTACATCCTGTATAATCCAGATTCTTTGAGAAACCACTGATTTGCATATAAAGAAAGTTAAAAGAAAATATCCACAATAACGAGTAGTGGAATTCTGAGTGATTTTTGGTTTTCCTTATAACTTTCTGTCTAAATTAAATATTTCTACAATGAGAACATACCACTTTATTATGTGAAAAAATATAAAAGCACAGTTGATTAAAAACAAAACAAAACAAAAAAAAACAACAACCCACAATTGAAGACAGAAGAGTGGATGAGATAGACAATTTTTATATTTGTTAGGTGTTGTCAAGTCAGTTCCGACTCCTAGCGGCCCTATCTGCGTGCAGGAGAAGAAACGCTGCCCCGTCCTGTGCCGTCCTCACACTCGCTGCTACGTTTGAGGTCACGGTTGCAGCCACTGTGTCAGTCCATCTTGTTGAGTCTTCCCCTTTCTTGCTGACCCTCTACTTTACCAAACATGGTGTCTTTCTCTAGTGACTAGTCCCTACTGATAACATGACCAAAGTATGATTTGTATGTAACAGGACCAAAATCACATTTAGATACATATCTAAAGTCATGAACTATATGCGAAGTTCTTTGCATACAGGGTAAAGTCTCTCCAGTGTGTGGTCTCAGAACTGCTAAGGAAGGACAGACACTGAAGGCTCCCTTGTCTTTTACATTCATGGGGTCTCTCATATGTGTGATACACATTTATTGCTCTTCAGTGTACCTTCTTACATGTTTTCAAATGGTGGAGAAAGAACTTAAGATGTTCCCTTAATCTTTACACTCCTAATGCCTCTCTCCACTATGCACTCTTCTATGTGTCCTAAGACTTGAAAAATCATGAAAATATTTCCCACATTCCTTACAATTACAAGGCCACTCCCCACGGTGAGTTTTGATATGTTCAGTGAGAGAAGAGGCCTGGCTAAAAGCTTTCAAACATTCCTTACATTCATAAGGCTTCTCTCCACTGTGAGTTCTTACATGTCTAGTGAGGGCTGAGGGCCAACTAAAGGTTTTCTTACATTCTGTACATTCATAAGGTCTTTCTCCTCTGTGAGTTCTTGTGTGTTTAGTCAGGGATGAGGAACAACTAAAAACTTTCCCACATTCCTTACATTCATAAGGCTTTTCTCCACTGTGAATTCTTACATGTTTACTGAGGGATGAGGACTGACTAAAGGCTTTCCCACATTCCTTACATTCATAAGGCCTCTCTCCACTGTGAGTTCTTATATGTCTAGTGAGGGCCGAGGGCCAACTAAAGGCTTTCCAACATTCCTTACATTCATAAGGCCTCTCTCCTCTGTGAGTTCTTATATGGCTAATAAGGTGTGATGACCGGCTAAATGCTTTCCAACATTCCTTACATTCATAAGGCCTCTCTCCTTTGTGAGTTCTTATATGTCTATTGAGGGGTGAGATATCACAAAATGACTTCCCACATTCCTTACATTCATAAGGCTTCTCTCCGCTGTGAATTCTCATATGTGTAGTGAAAGATGAGGAATAAAAAAATGCTTTCCCACATTCCTTACATTTATAAGGCCTCTCTCCACTGTGAGTTCTTATATGTGTAGTCAGGCTTGAGGACCTAGTAAATGCTTTCCCACATTCCTTACATTTATAAGGCTTCTCTCCACTGTGACTTCTTATATGTTTCCTGAGGGATGAGGAACAACTAAAGGATTTCTCACATTCCTTACATTCATAAGACCTCTTTACACTGTGAAACTTTAAATGCTTACTCAGAAATGAGGAAGAACTAAAGGCTTTCCTTCTTTGAGTTTTTTTAAGTTCATTAAGGGCTGAGGTGTCACCAATGACTGTCCCAAATTCCTTAAATTTGTATGGTTTCTCTCTAATGTGAGTTCTTAAATGTGTAATAAGGGATGAAGAACAACCACAGACTATCCCACATTTCTTACATTTATCAAGTTTCTCTCCAGTAAGAGTTTTCACATGAGTCCCTGGGCAAGAGAAACAATTGCAGGCTACTTTACATTCCTTACCCTGATAGGTATTGCAGCCAGTGTGAGAAACGTGATGATTAAACAATGAATGATCCATGAAGGTTTGCCCACACTCGTAGCACTCAGAAGAACACACTCTAGCAAGAATCCTCGTGAGCCCCAGAAGATTTGCCATCTGGCTGACAGGTTTTCCACACCAATTATCTTCTTTACTTTTGTTTACCTTACCTTCTTTCTTTTCATGGATCATCTCTATTGTAAGCTTTCTGTTAAAAATAGGCAGCATAGTGTTAGAATGAAATGTATCATTTTACAGTTACCATATACAGTAAATGTGCGTTTTCTGCCCTGAGTTGTGTCATGTTAAATGAGTTAAATCATCTCACATAGAAAAATCCCATTACTCTGACATTCCCATAGTTATCAAGTCGATTCCAACTCATAGCAATCCCAGAGGACAGAGTAGAACTGCCCCATAAAGTTTCCAAGGCTGTAACCTTTCAGAAGTAGACTGCCACCTCCCGGGCTCTGGAGTGGCTGGTGGATTTGAACTGCTGACATTTTGGTTAGCAGCTGAGTACTTCATCATGGCACTACCAGGGCTCTTTTACTGTGATATCACTAGTTAGTAATTGTACTTTCTGATAAATGTGTACAAATGACCAAACCAAACCCATTGCCATTGAGTTGATTCCAACTCATAGCAACCCTCATTGGAATTCCCAAGGGGGTAAATCTTTACGGAAACAGATTACTCAGTCTTCCTTCTGCAGAGTGGCTGGCGGGTTTGAACCACCAACCTTCTGGTTAGCAATCAAATGCCTTAGACACTGTACCACCAGAGCTCCTTATATTGAGCATCTGATTCATATTTATGGAAACATGTTATTAAAATTATGGGAACACACTGTTAAGATCTTGTTAATGCACAAAGATGTCATTTATCTTAAGACACTCTCTTGAAGCAATGCTCGGTCTCGTGAATGAAACTCACCTCACATGCTTCCCCTGGCTGCTGTGTTGATCTTTGATACCATGGAATTCACAGATTTCTCTGAACATAGAAGACCAGGAGTCATTCTTCATGAATTGCAATATTATATGTTTATTATTATCCTGTTGAGAAACTGACAAAACAATATTAAGTGAGGTCTTACAACATAAAACAAAAAGGTAAGAAAATTTAATGAGGAATAAAGCATCTGTGAGTACAGAAAGACTGAGGCATTTGAGTAATACACAATTTTTGGCAATGGTCAAAAAACTACAGAATTTACTAAGAAACAATTCCATGGCACATGAGTGACAGGAATATAATAGCATGTAAGTAAGAGAGGAAAATACAAAGATATTGCAAACAATGCATGTGAGCAAAGCTAATACTGAAAGATAAAATGGGGAAGGTCTTTTCCAATGAACAGAGAAAGCATGAAAGTGTTTGTTCTGGTTACCCAGTGCTGCTCTGACAAGAATATACCACAAATGGGGTGGCTTAAACAAACAGGAGTTTATTCTCTTACAGCTCCGGAGGCTAGAAGTCCAAGTTCAAAGTGCCAGGCTCTCGGGGCTGGCTGAAAGCCCCTCAGCCTTGGGTTCCAGCTCTGCCTCCTGCTCCCGGCCCACTGGAGCTAGAAGCATTTCTTCACTCAGACAGCTGCTGGCTGCTGAGGCTGAGAAGCCCCAAGGTTGACAAGTAAAAAGCCACAGTCCCAATGTTACCAAACCACATGGCAGGCCATTAACTTAAGTCCATTGTAAGTTCTAAGGTCGGCAGAGCATGCTGGCTGCTGAGCAACGACACGGCTACATGCAGGGTCCAAGCGTGCCATAGGCTAGAGGCCATTCCCAAGGCTTTTCCTTATATACAGGAAGCAGACCATATCCCAAAGGCAGCTACCCAGCTGCTTGTGGTAGATCCCACAATGGAGTTGATTGCCAGTCTTATCATGGGGAATAACTACCACCAGCTGCCCAGCCACTCAACCAGGGCCAGCCAAGTTGACACACAAACATAACCACCACAGTGTTGATGAAAAATTAAAAAAGCAAGCTGAAGTATGTATGGAAATTCAGCTTTCTCAAATCAAAAGAAACAGTTTTGAGTTGAGTTATTCAAATGTAATTCCTTCCATGCTGGAATTATCCTTCAAAGGATTTTTGCCTTCTTGGTGCTCCCTGACACAGTGGCTCAAGGTAAGTTTTTTTTTTTTAAATATTTATTGTGATTTGTGTGAAAGTTTACAAAGCAAATTCATTTTCCATACAGCAGTTCATATACATTTTGTTTCATGACATTGACTGCAATTCCCCATAATGTAACAGCTCTCTTTCCCCTTCCTCCCTGTGGTTACCTCTTCCCTGTATCTTTCCCTCCCATGCATTCCCACCCCCTGAGCTCTCTCCCTGTATAAACACTGCCCTTCTCTTCTCCCAAGATTTATTTTGATAGCTCCAAGGAGTATATCTACCTGATGTAAATGTTCACCTCATAAGCCCGTCTGTTGTTGTTTGGCTGCAAGCCATAGGAGTGAGTTCAGTTCCAGACCTGAAGGGTAATTAGGGACCATACTCTCAGGGGTCTGACCAGGCTCTATCAGACCAGCAAAACCTGGTCTACCTGGTCTTGTTTTTTTGTTTTTTTTTTTTCCCATGATTTTGAATTTTGTTCCATATTGTTCTTCCACTCTATCCAGGATCTCCTGCATCAATCCCCTTACAAGTAGTTGGCAGTGGTAGCCAGGCACCATCTAGTTCTGGTCTCATTGTCATATAGGCTGAGGATCACATGGCCTACTAGTCCCTTGGACTAATTGTTTCTATGCATCATTGGCTCTCTTAATTCTTCTTTGCTCTGGATGAGGAAAGACCCATCATTGCATCTAGATGTCCGTTTGCAAGCTTTTAAGACCCCAGTCACAACTCACCAAAGTAGGATGTAGAACAGTGTTTTTGTGTTGTATGTTATGTCAATTGATCTCGATGTCCCCTGCAACCATGGTCCCAAGCCCACAGGTCAAACTACTCGCTCCCTCAGGGTGGCTGGCTATGACCAAGAAGCCACCACAACCTTGCCCTTTGTCAGCTGTACTATATTCCCAGACATTCTTATAGCACACACAAATACGCATGTAGAAACATCGTCTGCCAACCCTATACATGGTCATGGGCACACTGCCCCCTGCTTAGACGTGGCTCATGTTAAGTTTTAACTCCACTCCCCTTTGATCTGTCTCTAGGAGAACAAAAGAACAAATGGGTGTGGCTGACCAGGTGCTCATGAGGAAAGATAAATCAGGAAGGAACACAGTGAAGAGCAACATATCTTTGACATTGGGCCAATACTCTGTTTTCCAAAGTCCCCATAGACAGACAGATGGTGAATTTATTTGCAGCAAAATAATCACATCTAATTACTGTTGTAATAAACAGTAAAATTCTAACAAGTTCCCAAGCCACAAAACTCAGTGTCACAAAATGAACCATGAAGCCAACTTAAAGAGCCTCAACCTCAAGGCTTTTAACCAGAAGAGACACAAAGTCAGTTTTATACATAAATTTTTCTTTTCAAGAGAAAGCCACTAGAGTCTAAGCTTCATGGTGGACATACCTATCATAATTGCTGAAGTATTCTCATTTCTCAACACAAATCCTGGAACAAGGTCAGTGAGTACAACATATTTTATCATTAACGGAAGAAAAATGAAGTCTATCTTACCAATCAAGGCCAGGTTCCTTAAGGTTTCCTTCATCACATCTCTGTAGAGTTTCCTCTGAGCAAAATCCAGCCAAGCCCACTCCTCCTGGGTAAAGTCGACAGCCACATCTTCAAACACCACTGTGTCCTAAAACATCCCACATATTCAGGATTAGCAAGGTACCATATTTTCCAATATGTGCAAAGAATGAGAGAGGCTGTCAGTCTAGGGGAGTGGTGAATTCACACAAAGTTTGGTGTTCTACTCTAGAGTTTGGCCACCAGCCTCTTCCCTTCATTGTCTATATTTACATCCTTACTATTGGTTTCCATCTCATAGGTTTAACAATATTTCTAACACAATGAAGTTATTTCTCTATGGTTTGACTGTGATCAATTCTAGTCTTAATCCTCTCTATCTCTATAGTCTAGAATAACCAGAATCCACAGAAGGTCGACAAATCCTCTGTGTGTGTGTGTGTCAGGTGCTATTGCATCAGCTCCAACTCATAGCAACCCTATGTACAACAGAATGAACCACTGTCTGGTCCTGTGCCAGCCTCACAATCCTTGCTGTACCTGAGCCCATCGTTGCAGCCACTGTGTCAATCCATTATTCTGGAGGCCTTCCTCTTTTTCACTGGCCATCCACTTTACCAAGTATGATAACCTTTCTCCACAGAATGGTCCCTTCTGACAACATGACCAAAATAGGTGAGATGAAGTCTGGCCATTCTTGCTTCCAAGGAGCATTCTGGTTGCACTTCCTCCAGGACAGATTTGTTCATTCTTCTGGCTGTCCATAGTACATTCAGTATTCATTGCCAACATCACAACTCAAAAGCGTCAACTCTTCTTTGCCCTTCCTTATTCATTGTCCAGCTTTCACGTGCATATGAGGTGACTGAAAATACCATGGCTTGGGTTAGGCGTACCTTAGTCTTCAAAGAGACATCTTTGCTCTTCAGCACTTTAAAGAGGTTTTTATTTTGCAGCAGATTTGCCAAGTGCAATACTTCATTTGATGTCTTGACTGCTGCTTCCATTGGTGTTGACTGTAGAACCAAGTAATTTGAAACAAAGGACATTAAGAAAGTGAAAAGACAACCTCTAGAATGGGAGATAATATTTACACATCATTTTCCTAAAGAGAGTTTCACATCCCGAGTATATAGAGAACTCCTACAACTAAGTAACAAAAAGACAAATAACCCATTTAGAACATACCAAACAAACATCTGCACAGAAGGGAAATACAAATGGCCAAAAAGCATACAAAAAGTTGTTCAACATTATGTTGTTCAACATGATGTTGTCCACAATGTAGATATTGTGTTGTTAGGTGCTGTTGGATCAGTTTTGACTCACATTGACCCCAGGGACATCAGAAAGACACTGCCCAGCTTTACGCTATCTTCACTATCCTTACGATGATTGAACCCATTGTTGCAGTCATTCTGTCAATCCATCTTATTGAGGGTCTTCCACTTTTTCATTGACCTGCTACTTTGCTAAGCATGATATGCTTATCAGGAGGACTAGTCCCTCCTGATAACACACATGACTAAAGTATAAGAGAGGAAGTCTGGCTGTTCTCACTTCTTAGGAGCATTCCAGCTGGATGTACTTCTTCCAAGACAGATTTGTTCTTCTGGCAGACCACGGTACAGTCAGTATTCTTCACCAACACAATTTAAAGGCATTGATTCTTCTGTAGTCTCTTTTTTTTACGTATTTTCCAGTTCTCACATGCACATGAGGCTTTGAAAATACCATGCCTTGGGTCAGATGCACCTTAGTCTTCAAAGTGACATCTTTATTCTTTAACACTTTAAAGAGGTCTTTTGTAGCAGATTTGCCCAGTGCAATATAACATCTAATTTCTTGACTGCTGCTTCCATGATTGTTGATTGGAGATCCAAATAAAATTAAATTCCTGACAACTTCAATCTTTTCTCCATTTATTGTGATGCTACTAATTGGTCCAGTTGTGAGGATTTTCATCTTCTTTATGTTGAGGTGTAATCCCTACTGAAGACTGTAGTCTTTGATCTTCATCAGTAAGTGCTTCAAGCTTCTTCACTTTCAGAAGCAAGGCTGTGTCATCTGCATATCATAAATTGTTAATGAGTCCTCTTCCAATCCTAACACTGCCTTCTTCTTTATATAATCCAGCTTCTTGGATTATTTGCTCAGCATAGAGATCGAATAAGTATTGTGAAAGGATATTACCCTGACACACACCATTCTTGATTTCAAACCACTCAGTAAACACTTGTTCTGTTCAACAATTACCTCTTGGTCTATATATAGGTTCCTAATGAGCACAACTAAGTGTTCTGGAATTCTCATAGTTTGCAGTGCTATCCATAATTTGTTAAGATCCATACAG